AATCTATGTTTTATTTGCGCTTGAAGTTGAAAAATAAAAATAACGTATATTAATGTTAGACACTGTATAAGTATATAAATATATTCATATATGCATATTTTAATATAGTATATATATACTTTATATTTTACATATTTCTACATTTTTTATATTTTCCTTATTTACTTTGCTTTCACACTCTTTGCATTCCTTTGGCTCTTCTCCTTCATATACTATATACAAATGTTTATCCCAAAAGAGAGGCGTGAAAACTTAGGTCATTAAGTCAATTTCATAATCAGTTGCCGTTATTGAAATTGAATCCATTAGCCTATATAATTGCAGCGCGAAATGGAAGAGTTATTTCATACTTAATGTTGATAAGGCAGCAGTTGAGCATAATTTATGAAAGGATTGAGTTAATTAACCCTTGGACGAGTTAAGTAAGCAAACGAAAATTATCAAATCGGCTTACCTAATGTAAATAACTTTGATGAGGGTAATGTTAGTCAATTGCTAAGGTATATGAATGCATAATATAATATAATATATAAATATGTATATAATACTATAAACAAATTCAATAGCATTTTTTTTTTTTTTTTTTTTGAAATTTATTGATATTACCTATATAATATATCATTTGAAGTCCAAAATTTAGTCGGAATTTAACTATTTAATTATATTTAACCTACGCAGATAACTAAAGCATAGCAATTTTACTTATAATCTGAGAGATTTTTATATGTAAATTAAAAACAAAACAAATTTATTTAATACAAAATTAATTTTTAAAAATGTTACTAATTTTCGATTGCCTGATGACGCATCTTTTATATTACCTATTGAATTTTCCAAACATATTTCATATTTGATTATCAAAGTCGAAACGGAAAATTATTACAAATCAAACTGCAAGGAATTTACTCGAATTGGCGAATTTTTCAGGAAACACAGCAGCTTTACGAATTATAGATATTTTCGACCTAGCGGGGGACAAACTGCGACTCAAATAATAAATGTAGGAAAGCAATTTTATAATTATATTTGCCCTTATACTTAGTAGTCGAACTAACAATGAAGAAATTAGTCGGTTCAGATGTGAGCTCAATTATTTCGCATATTGCAAATATAATTATATCTGGCCCAACTCTGAGATACAACGCAATTCGATTGAAAAGAAATTCTGAGAATTTCGAGGCTACACAAAGAAGGCCAAGCAGCTAGTCAAAGTAATCTTTGGTATTTTAGCAAGCAGAAAAGGGCATTCGAGTGATTTAAATTGATAAAAATTAGGTATTTAAATATGCATTTAATATTTATTAAAGCAGGCAAATCTGACCGATGGTAGTTTCTAGATAAGTCCGATGAATGACCCAATTCGAGGAATATTTTCAGCTGCTGCTCCCCCTGCAAGCCACAGAGAAACAGTGAGAGAGAGAGAGAGAAAGAGAGAGGGAGAGTGAAGGGGAGTTGGCATTTTTGGGACTTCCCACATGTTTCATTCAGGGCGCTGTCTGCCTGGTTGCGGGCAGGTGTGGTAATTCACGTGTAAATCGACGGCAGAAACGTCAGTCGGAAGTTAGTAACTGTTGATTGTAGGGCAATGGCTGAAGGTGTTCGAGCCGTGGCTCGAGTATGACGCGCAAGGGTCACGTTCTCCATCACGCACTCAAAGAGCAAAAGCTCAAAAAGTGCTAAAACGTTTGAGTTTGCCGCAGCAGCAGAACAATGGCACAAAAGACGGTGGGGCGAGAGCCAAACGGGCAACTGGCAATAGGCAACAGGCAACAGGCAACAGGCGGGCAGCAAAAATCACGTTGACAGCAGGAAGCAGGAAATCCAAATAGGCAACAGGTAGCACGAGCCACATGTAAATATCGATGCGAGAAGAGGAAGCAGAATCGAGTTGCTGCTGTGATGATTGCTGCTGCGGCTGCTGCTGCTCACGTTGTGGCTGCCACGGCAGCTGCTTGGTTACTGCTGGCTCGGAGCTGGGCGACGGGCTGCCAGCGCACGAAGTGTCCTCGTCCTGCGGGCAGGCTGTGCGAGCGGCCGCATGGGGGACGGTGTGCGGCGCACGAAGGTTAAACGCGAAGCTTTTCGAGCAGCTGTCGACATTGAGTGCAGCTATAAAAGCGACAGCAGCAACGCCTGCCCCAGCAGTTGATGCCAGCAAACGTCGCGAAACGCATTCCAAGTGAAAGTGAAGAAAAACTTGAAGCTCTAAAATTCACACTGAGCCAAGAACTATTCAAGAGCACTATAAACTTTAAAACTCGAACGTGAGATGGATACGCTAAGTCCCAACAATTGCTCCAAATCGAGCTCCAAGTCCAGTTCCAATTCCAATTCCTCGATGGATCTGGGCGAGAAGCAGCTGAAGCAGCAGAAGCGCGGCTCGCGTGGCCAGAAACTATCGCGATCCCGCAGCCTGCTGCAGCTGCTCAGCAGGCACCTGGGCAGGCACTTTCAGCACCATCACCATCATCAGCAGAACGACACGGTCTACAGCAGCCAGGATGACATACGCAGCTCGTCCACGGACTCGTTCAGCTTGAGCGGCTCGCGCAACGAGTGCCTGGAGGTGCTCAACGGTGGCTCCAGTCTCGATCTGGAGAACACTTCGCGCACATCCTCGGCCTCGTATTCGCCGGGCATGGAGTTCTACGACAACAATGCGCATATCTATGTGGAGACGGTGTATCGACCCGGCAGCGCCATGGAGCAACTGCATCCCCATCACTACGACGACAGCAGCAGCAGCGGCGCCGATGACGACGAGCATGAGGATGAGCACGAGCATGAGCCCCAGCAGCAGCAGCAGGAGCAGCAGCAGCAGCGACAGCGTGAGCAGGATGAGAATGAGAACTTGAATCAGCTGAAGCCACAGCCGCGCTCCGCATCATCGGCATCGACTGGCAACAAGGCTGGGCTGCATTTGAGTCGCATCTCCATCTCCTCGTCGGTTAGCCGCATGCTGCAGCACTTTTCCACATCGGCAGCAACAACGGCAACGGCATCGCTGCGCTCCCTCTCCTGCAGCAGCACGCCGCTCCGGCAGCGCGACGTCTCCTCGCTGATGCGGGCAAAGAAGCTGCTGACGCCGCACAACAGCCACAACAGTCACAACAGCCACAACAGCCACAGCAGCAGCAGCTGCAGCAGCAACAGCAGCAGCAACAGCAGCAGCAGCAACAGCAGCAGCAGCTCAGCAAAAAAATCAGCCAAAAAGGACAAGAAACAGCAGAGCATACTGCGACCTCCAGTGCAGTATGTCTACATGAAGGGCATGTCCGGACTATACTCCCGCGTGCCCAGCTATGCCGCCTGCTGCCCCTACACGCTGCATCACATGTATTAGACAGAGCAGCGGCGAAAACGTCATCGCGCCGAGGACATTGCCCAGCGCAGTTTCCGGGTGAAGGCCAACAGCAGCGACGGCAGCAACTAAAAGGTGCCAATGTGGAGTCTGGGTGGGTAGTTAATAGGGAAAAGTAAAAAGTAAAACGTGATGTAGTGCCTACAAAAAAAAAAAAAAAGAAAATTGGATATGCAGCAGAGCAACATATTTTATAAATATGTCAAAGAGAACAATATCTAAAAAAAATATACACAAAAATAAAAAACACAGTTTCCATATATTTGAATTATTACAACAAATAATACATATGTGTGCAAAGCTATTCGATATTTAGAGACTTTCAGTTTACACAGTAGCTAAATTCTAGTTAATATTATGTAAGCATATACCCTATCTGAAACATACACACACACAACAACAACAACAACAACACATACACACATATCTTCCCATGTAGTTTTTAAACTCAACTTTTCGGAGCTAGGCTCAAATGAAAAACAATTTATTATATACACAAATAAAAGAGAGAAATCTATGAAAAACGTTTGTTATTTCCAATTATATTTTGCACTTATTTCAATGGGCACTTGACTAGACAAAATTACGAATTTATCTAAGATATTCCAAAATTGTACAAATACCAAAGAGAAAACAAATATTTCAATATTATTATTTATTTATTTATAATAAATTTCAAATATACTTGCATACACTTTATTCGTTTCCAAACTAAACACAAAGTGCAAAAAAAAACTGAGCAAAGAATAAGTAAAAACGTTTAGCACCTAAGTAAAAAAACCCTATATTTTTAGATCATATAACCCTAAGCATAAGTCTAGCTGTCGAATAAATAAAAAAAAAACAATCTAAAGAAAAAATTCCAAAATGTTTTATTTCTTGGAAATATTTCAAATTTCTAACGGTTGTTTGCTAAAAGCTTTGCGCAAAAGCTCTTGTGTGCGCTTGCGCCTTGGCTGATTGGCTGGCTGGCTGGCTGCCTTGGGAACAGTTCGCTCACTGTGCTCTGGGAACAGTTTGGTGTTTGGTGTCGCCTTGCGTTTGCTGATGTAGGTAAAGTCCTCAATTTTCGAGTGGCCGAAGGACTCGACCTTATAGTTTTGACATACGATATCATGTCGTCTGCCTGAGCCAAACTACATGTTCAAGCTCGATGGATGACGTTAATCGGCCGTAGCGGCAGCTGTTGTTGCTGCATGTTGCAACTGGCAAGTGCTCGCTAAGCCGCCGCATGCATTATTAATTTGATGGCAGCCCAACATTCAAATCTCTGGAAACTCAATGTGGATTGCAGCTACTTTGCATACTTGAGTGAGGCTATTATACAAATGCAGCCCCATTGATATCTCAAAAGGAAATTCATTATATATTACACTGCGTAACTGTCGTATAACATAAATAGAGACGGCTTTCATTGTTACTCTTATTCTGTCATCACTGTTCTCTAATTATGCTCAGCCATATCGCGATTGGCTGCAGTTGTTAACCTGCAATAGTATTAGTGAGTAACCGAGAGCTTGTATAGAGTTCTTGTAGATATGTTATCCAATTGCGTTTGCGTTTTAGTTGCACGCCTATCATAGATAAGTGAGTAAGAGAGGGACAACAAGAGCTGTTGCTGGATTTCATCTGCTTTCTACTGCTTTTACAGTGAGTGAGAGCGAGACAGCTACTTAGGTCATTCTAACATAGCCGATATGATTTCGCATAGAAATGGAGAATCTGAATGGGAGGCGATCAAGCTTACTCAGCTGCGACATATGCATGTATGTGCTTATAGTTCAGCGGTTAATTAAAAAGTATGTTTAAATAACAATTTTTGTTTTATATTTAATAATATTTGATACCCTACAATAGGGCTTATTATAATGTACCATATATTAATTTAAATTAAGTAAATAAATTTCACTTACCAACTGGAGTTGATATAAATAGAGGCCTTTAAATATCAACTGCTTCTCCTCCGCTTCATCTAAAAATAAAAAGAAAAGTTCAATGAAAATGTAGTCTTTGATGCGTAGGAGCTTATCAACTATTATTCTATATTTAAATTGATTGTTAACAAATATTTGCAGTTGCAGGGATGTCAATTATATTTAGAGCTTTGCTCTGTCAAATGAACAAAGGGCTGTTAATGGGATTGACGTCAGGGGCACAAGAATTACGCCTTTTAATTAGAAGATAAACAACAGAACAGGACACGACAGGAACAATTATCACAGTCTCCCCCGCACGCACACACCAGACAGACAGACACACACACACACACACACACACACAAACACCAATCACACACACACACACAATGCTATTAAAACAACGGATTTCATTAAATCGCCATAGACAAATATCCAGCATTCGCCCTTTCGCGTCGCCCCTCGTCCATCTCGCCCATCGTTTCGCCTCAGACCCAACCGCAACGAGGCGTAAAATTGGCAGTCAGTTTTATTTATAGAGCATTAAAATCAATTTTGTGCGTAATTAAATAATAAAAAAAAAACATCAACAACAACAACAACGGCAACGACAGCAGCAACGTCGCGAACGTGAGAACAATAGCTGTAATCTATTTTTGACGGCCTTAATTGCGGCTTATGAATTCTCTTGGCGACATCTGCGTGTGGCTAAAACGCTAAAAAGCTAAAAGCCGCCAACACCTGCAGCCACCCACGGCACTTAGGTCCGGATATATCTGTGCGGCAATTAAAAGTTTAGAAATAAACTGAAGCGGGTTTATTTTTATAGTAAGTGAAAAGGAAATGAAGACAAATTGATGCGTAAACATTTTGCAATTGCGCTGCAAAAAGCAATTAAAGTGCAGGCCACACGCGACTAAGCAAATATGGCAAGTGCCACCAGCGCCAGCGGGCAGGCAGAGCAAACAAGCAACAACAACAAAAATTGGTAAACAAATGCCACAATTCAAATGTTGCCATTGCTGGCATTGTGTATTAGGCAACGGCAACAGCCAAATAATCATAATAATGCACAACGCAGTAAGGCAACAGACAGACACAGAGAGAGAAGGAGAGAGAGTGAGTGAGAGCTATTGTAAGAGAGCGCTCTCTGGCGGCTGTTTGCAGCCAACGCAGTCTGCAGACCGGGCGAGTCTATAAAAGCAAGCGGCAAACGATTTGCCGACTCAAACGCGAAAGGACAACGTCTGTGTGTACACACGAAGCTCTGAGCAGAAAACAAAAAAAAAAAAGGCAAAGAAAAAAGCAAAAACGCCGACATAGTAAACACAGTGCATGTGTGCGAGTGAGAGAGAGAGAGTGTGTAAATGTGTGCGTGTATCGGACCGGCAATAACAAAGCCATAGACAAAGCGAAAGCGGAAGTGCAGCCCGTTTACGCTGCTTGGAGTACAGCAAAGTCGGTAGCCGGAAGTGCAGCTTCTATATAACTATTATATAGATAGATATAGATCCTTATAGCTACAGCTAACTCTCGCCAACAACAACAACAACGCAGCGCAGTTTCTATATGCATTTCTAACTGTATAGACTGCAGTAGGCACTCGCTATACAGTACTACAGTAAATACTCGCTAAATCAGACTACAGTAAACTCTATACTGCATACTGAGAGGGTACAATGGCCACGCCACACGTCTGCTTTGCGGACGAGCTGCAGCAGCAGCCGCCGCACAACAACAACAACAACAACAATGGCAACAAAAATTGGCTGGAATTGGAGCTGCAGCCGCCGCAGCACTCGCCCAGCCTCTCGCCAACGCCTCGCTACGAGCGTAACATGGGCTTCTTTCAGCTGCTCAGCCGACGCTTTGGGCTGAGGTCAAGCGTTGACCTAGTTGATGCAGCTGCACAGGAGGAGGATGCGCACAGTTCATCGACCGATTCGTATTCATCGGCTAGCCGTGGCTTAGCTGCAGCACGCTTGGAGCTGATGTCCTGCGCCTCCAGCGAGACGAGCAGCACCATTGACATCGAGGAGCAGGAGCAGCAGCAGCAGCAGCAGCAGCAACAGCAGCAGGACCAACGCAAATCGTTGTCTCGCACGAGCTTCTCACGAATGCAACGCCGGTCCACATCGTCACTGCGACGCGCCTTTGAGAGCCTCTCGCTGACATCACGCTCGATGTCGTGCAGCGGCCCCTCGCCGCCCCCACAGCCGCACCCACACCAGCATCAGCAGCAGCCGCAAATGCCATTGAAGTCCGCTCTGAAGTCGGCTTCTACTATCGAGCTGCACCAGCGTCAGCACAAGCTGGCCACCAAATCGACGAGCAGCTCCAGCGCCTGCTCCAACTCATCCACATGCTCCGCGACCCAAGCGAAGCACAGCAAGGCGAAGCCGCCTCCACAGCGCATCCTCCGTCAGCCCGTCTCCTATACATATCTAAAGGGCATGTCCGGCCTGCCGACGCAGCGCGTGCCCCGCAGCTCCGTCTGCTGCCAATATGCGCGGCGCTAAGGGGATCGGCAGAGAGTTCATTATCTATCATTATCTACTCATAGCCAATAGCAGTTGATAGTAGTTCGAATAGCTCACGTAGCTCACATAGCTCACATTGAACATTGTGCCAAATGCCACGCCCATTCATTTCGAAAAACTGTGATACAATTACTTTTTCATATCCACAGCAGATTCCCAGCTCATTCCACGAAACGAACACCAAAGAAGATCCCCAAAAGAGAGAAAAAAAAAACCAATACATTTTCCAAGACTTTAGCAAATAGAAATAGAAAATTTTCCACGCGGCTTTCGATTCCAGCAAAACCGAACAGAAGACTGTCCCAAGGGAAAGTTTTGTATTGTTCAAAGAAAATTGCTTAAATTTAATTAAAACTATAATAAAATTATATAAAATTATAATAAATTTATTGTACATTCGTGCCTTTATCCAAAATTCGAAAAAAAAAAACAAAACTCTAAAATTAATTTTAAAATTTTTAATTATAATTATAATTATTATAGATATATGTATATTCGTCTACTATGCGTACTCAATTAGTTGCTGTAATGGGATCAAAATTTTCTCGGTTAAATATACTATAGTCTAACTTACATATATATATAAATACCTAAGTACATTAACTATGTTTTCATACAAGTATATATGTATTAACTTCATTCGGTAGTTAAGATTTTGCTCTTCAGATTTGGAAATTCGTTTTTTTTTCTCGCACTCTTCAGTCGTAGGGCACATAGATAAGATGAGAAACGTACTAACTAACCAAGCATTGCAATTCAAAACTGATTATATAGACAGCATATATACATATATACCATATACAAAACACGTGCATACATTTACCGTAATGTACTTATAATGAACAAACAATCTAAGAACGCAACTATACTATATATAATAAATATGATTAAACAGAGATAATGGCATAAGCAATACAGTTATACACACATATATACAGCCGATTATAATGATATATATATACACATATTTACTTAATCATAAGTTAACTATTTACCAACAACAACAAATAGAAGCAGCTACTAATGAATATTTCATTCACACAGCAAGTTCAATAAAAAGCGAGAAAATAATTTACACCAAAAAAAAAAAAAATCTCAATAGTTCAATCTTCTTTTCTGTCGCATAACAATTGATATTTATTGGGAAACTTTGGCGATTTGAAAACACTCATCGGAGAGTGACCCACTTGGCGAAGCTCGAGAAGTTGCCAAAAATAACAATTACAATGAATCAAGGCTAATTACGGCAACAGAAGCCCTTCTGCAGATTGCGTATACGTCGCGTATGGCGGGCCTGATTACATTTATGCGCCGCTGCCTGCTGCCTGCTGCCTACTCAGCCGGCATACGGAAAACTAGGTCAGCGATTGGTAGGGCAACATCATCAATATTTTCACACCCACCCACACATACACATCCATATATACATATGTATGAGTGTATATGGAAAGTACTTATTAATCTGATGGATATCGTTGCCAGGCAAAGGCCGTAAAATGTTTATGGAAATTTATGTGTGCGAAACGCGTGTCCCTTGCTTGAATTTACAACAAGTCAAGCCTGACATCGAGGCAGACAGAGTCTGGCCAGGCCAGAGGCTGGGCAGGAGCATGAGCCTGCCATTTGATTAACATTATTCCAACTGAATTGGCAAACGAACTGGCATGGAAATAATTACCTAATAAATATGACAAATGCGTCAAGACTTTAGAAAACGTTTCAAAAATTTCCATTGCACTTCAGTTCAGTTTTTTGTTTTTCAGTAAATATAAATTTACTAGAAATTGAGGAGAGAACGGAATCAATTGATATATAGAAGTTCTATGGCTCAATAAAGCTAGTCGTTATAGTTTAATGCCCCCTAATCTATCATGAGTAATAGCTTTAATACTACAACCTCTTTACTTTTAATAGTCGGCTTAGCAATGGTGTCAAGTGCTTTGCTCGAAATCTCTAGCGAGTGCTCTGCCATATCAAACAGCATAACGCATACGCCCCATCCGCCGGCGCTGCCCATCGTTAGTCAAGCATTCAATACTCTCTCAAGGCAACAAATTAGCGTGTCAGACAGGCAATCAAAACAGTTTCATTTTTTTTTTTTTTTTTCGGACAAGTCATAAATTTTGTTTTGCTGACGAAATACGTCAGAGGGCAAAGGCGAAGGCGAAGGCGAGGGCGCAGGAGTTGGCGCAGGAGATGGCAGTGCCCTATGGGCGCGTCATATGTGTATTTGATAATGGAATTGCCTAAAAATACGTATTCAGTGACCTAATTTCCTGCTGATAGGCGACGACAAATGCTTAGCATTCGCAATGATATGTTTCCCTCAGCCAGCGTGATTTTTATGGCCCGCTGTTGCGCACTCCCCCCAACTTGGCCCAGTGAAATGGAAAATAACAATTGTGTATAAGTGTGTAAGTATGTGGCCAGCCAGCCGCTAGCCAAAGGCGACCGCAGTCACGTAGTCCCAGCCCAAGGCTGCTCCGGCTGCTCTGGCTGCTGTTTGTTGCCTTTTCAGTTCGGTCTGTGCGACTGTCCATATTTAATTAAGTTTGCGTTTTCTATTTTCCTTTCGGCTTTCTTTGTTTTTTCCGCTCTTTGAGCTATTTTTGGCCATTCGCTATTTATATGTACCCTTGCTGGTCCGTGCAACACTCACTTATTAATACTTGCCTAATTTTCGGGCAGCTTTTGCACTCTTTCTGACACATTATGCTCTCAGCTAATGGCAGAGTGGAAAAGCAGAGCCCATTCCGCAGCTGTAAGGATTTTTATGATGGAAGGCGCGTTAATTTGTCCCTCGTGTCGAGCAATAGCTGGCGTGAGCTACGACCAGCAAGCGGAAGGGCGGGAGGACGAGACGAAGGCAGAGTGTGGGCGGTATTTGGCCAGCAAAACAGCAGCATAATTAATCTTCTTTGGCTCATAACCACACCCCAAAAAAACAGACACAAGCCAAAAGGCAAACAGCGTAAATAACAGCAACAACAAAAACAATTAGACGCAGCCAGCTGTCGCTGCTTGCCGAATGGAATGATACCTTAACTAAAAGGGTCAGGGTGTGTGAAATTTCCCTTCCAATCTGATATACATATATCTTCTTGACAGCTGAACCCATCAAATTTTCCTTGAACAAAAAACTTTGCTTTTATTTTATGTTCTCTTTAAACTGATATTTTTTATGCGGGCTATTAAAAAATGAAACAAGCCAAGTATCAGCTAACACTTGAGGTCTGTGATAACATTGATGCAACCGTTTGTATCAGAAATACATTTTTCAAAGTTCAAGAAATGAACTTTAATCTTTTCTACATATTTTTTTGTTCTTATAAAACTTTTACTGCATCACTTTGGGTTTTCTTTCCTGAAATATAAGACTAAGATCTGAGGCAGAGAAAGTGGATTTATTTTAGCACTTTGTAAATGATTTTGTGGTAGAGCTCATTTTCTGTATTGATGACTCTTTAAACTTTTCCTTGTCTTTGGCAGAGTTTTTGGAATGATCTTTGTATGCAAGAATTCACTGCAACTCAGAAATGAGGCTTTGCTTAGCTTAAAGTGGGTTTTACTACTTATTTTGCATATCAGATGTGCATATACTGAATACCAAATATATATGCATTTAGTTAAACATATCAAAAAATCTCATTTAATCATTGCATACAAAAAAGTTGCCTGCCCCGGGTGAGGATCGAACTCACGACCTTAAGATTATGAGACTTACGCGCTGCCCTCTGCGCTACCGAGGCGTTGAACGGATGCATACTGAGATTATTATGTGAAACAACTTAAGGCCAGAAGCCCGAACGATTGATCCTTGCTTTACATAGAATCTATGTAAATTGTATAAACAACACTGTTCCTCCATCTAATCTCTAGTAAAATAAACAAAGTCCATATCAATATAGAAAGATGAGTATATAATCATATATTCTCTTAAATTATATGCACATTGATTTCTATACAAAAAACAATCCATTAAACGTTCGCACTTTAACATAAATTAGTTCTTGCATTAAGACAAAGCCTGGCGGAAGGACATCAGGCCTTCCCTTGATCCATTCGGCCAACTGAACGTAACACTTTTATCTTATACTAACCAAATTTAACAAGGCATAAATATAAATTTTATTTTATTCATTTAAGCCGCATATGTGGACGGCATAGCGAGCCAGCCAGCTTAAGTACTCTGCTTAGGGTATTAAATTCTTGTTGCGTTCTCTCAGATGACTTCTCGCTGAGCATAATTCCATTTTCGGCATTTGCCAGCACATGTCTTTATATGCTATGCTTTTTTTTTTTGCCACCGGTGACTGCTCCAGCTCCAGCTCCTGCTGCTCCTACCGCGTCTCTGTGGTTCACTTGCTTGCAATATTTACCTTAAAATTGTTTACCTTTATCATCTTACGCGGCGCTGCTTCTGTGTTTTTTTTCTGCTTTCTGGTTTCTGTTTTTTCATCTCATCTTCACGTTTTGTTCTTCTCCAGTGTGCGAGGCATACCTTTTTATGAGGTCTTCTCATGCTTGTTATGTTAACGGCAGTTTCCGTTGCTTTTTAATGGCACTCGGTAGTAATTTCATTTCGCAAAATATTGCTGCATACTTTAAGGAGCTGCGAGTCAAACATTTAATGAATATTTCAAATGTGGCTGCTGTTCTTGTTTATTGTTGCTGTTGCTGCTGCTGTTGTTGTTGTTGTTGTACCGTTTGCTATTTTTAGCATCAAATCTTCGCTTATTGCCACAAATTGAAGGCACTTCACACGCCAACGCAACGACAACACAAAACACATAGACAGAAGTGCCTGTATATTGGCTAAACGCTGGCGTTACGTATACGCCTTGTTAGTCGGAAAAAGGCAAGACAAGCCAGAAACAACCTGCATGCTAATTCGCACTTTGACCCAAATACCAGACAATGGAGACCCTCAAAGATGCGTGTATTCTGCAGCTGATCATCCTAGCACCTAAGGACGAGCCCAGCCAGGACCTCAGTCAAGAGTGTGACACGAACTAAATAAATAATAAATTATGCCAGCTAGCGCCACGCATCCACGCATCCTCTGCTGCCTTGTGCCGCAGCTCATAAAGTATGCACGATGTGTTGGTAATTGAACTCAATGCGTAAACAAAATGTCTACATTTCGGGCCGCAAATATCTTCGAATTGGCGCAGAGCGCACAAGGCACAACCTAAGCAAATATTCGCTGTAAATGGCCCGAGCTCGAGGGAAACCAAATGAAAGCAGCTAAAGCCAATGCTGTTCAATAAATCAATCGAGAGTCTTTGTGCAATTTCAGCTCTGATTGTCGGTTAACTCTCACGCACTTCACTTCTTCACTTCACTTTTGTCTTTGGCTACATC